GTATTCCTGCACCCTGCTTTTGAGAGAGAGCCCGATATCATAATGGTATTTTCTTTGATGAGATTTTTTCAGGATGGGCACAAGCGTCACCACTGACTGCGGTGGCTAAAGATCCGGCACCAGCTCCGGCACCAGCTCCGGCACCAGCTCCGGCACCAGCTCCGGCACCAGCTCCGGCACCAGCTCCTGCCTGCGCACCCGTATGTTCCTATATGCAAAAAGCATTGTTTAGCTAAAAAATACGTTTTGTCGCATGAAGTTTGAAAGCGTTACTCAAAGGATAACGTCTTCCCTCGTCATGGTTTCGTTGAAGTTCTCCTTCTAAAAAACTCAAATAAAATCAACGGAGGCTTGAACAATAAAAACAACAATTCCTCTTACGGTGGCTCTTAAAAGTGAGCATTTCGAGTAAACGTATTGGTATGCAAGGCTTATTCGGCCGCTAGAGAGTGGTGGTTTACGAATAGTGGATGTCAATCGGTATTGGCGAGTTGCGGAAAATGACTGGGAAAAGGACTGCCTCACCAACAGCACTACAGGAAGTTTTCGTTGAAAACATCAACCAGTTCCATTAGAAGCTCGCATCACCTGTATTACCTGTCGTCCCGTAGATCGTCGCTTTGCTCGAGGGCGCCAGCAACGTCTGCATTCGTCCCTGATTGCGGTTTTTTGGGGGGGGGGCCGCCCCCCCCCCCCCCCCCCCCTTTTTTAAAAAAAAAGTAAAAAAGGGGGGGGGGGGTGGGGGGGGGGGGGGGGGGGGGGGGGGGGGGGGGGGGGGGGGGGGGGGGGGGGGGGGGGGGGGGGGGGGGGGGGGGGGGGGGGGGGGGGGGGGGGGGGGGGGGGGGGGGGGGGGGGGGGGGGGGGGGGGGGGGGGGGGGGGGGGGGGGGGGGGGGGGGGGGGGGGGGGGGGGGGGGGGGGGGCCCGCCCCCCCCCCCCCCCCCGCCCGCCGCCCCCGCCCGCCTGGGAATATATAAGGGGGGGGGGGGGGGGGGGAAAAAAAAAAAAAAAATAAAAAAAGGGGACCGCCGCGCGCGCCCGCGGCGCCCCCCCCCCCCCCCCCCCCCCCCCCCCCCCCCCCCCCCCCCCCCCCCCCCCCCCCCCCCCCCCCCCCCCCCCCCCCCCCCCCCCCCCCCCCCCCCCCCCCCCCCCCCCCCCCCCCCCCCCCCCCCCCCCCCCCCCCCGCTTTTTTTTTTTTTTTTTTTTTTTATTTCGATCTCCCGGCGCCCGCCCCCGGCCGCGGCGCCCCGGCCGCCCCCCGCCGGCCCCGCCGCGGCGGCGGCGCCCGCCGCCCGCGCCCTCCTCGCTCGAGGGACACGAAGTCCTTCATTCCTTTCGTTCAGAGCTTTCGTGAAGAAGTCTGACCATCGGGCCGGCGGTCGTCCAGGTGTTCGTTTGACGTCCCGAGGGATCCAGTCGGTAACCGCTCTGGTCCAACGGTCATCGCAAAATCGCATGACGTGTCCGGCCCACCTTATCTTCGATTCCTTGGCGAAAACGGCAGCGTCCCTGATCTTCGATCGTTGGCGTAGTTCGAACTCCGGATTCCCCTCTGCACTTGCGTGTATAGGGTTACTCCTAGCATCGTCCTCTCGACAGCGCGTTGGATAACGCTGACCGCATGCTCGTCCTGCCTGCGCAGAGTCCAAGTCTCTGAGGCGTAGGTTAGGGCAGGAAGGACAGCGGAATCGAAGAGGTGGGCACGGAGCCGGATGTTCTTCGTCTTCTTCACTACTCCCTCGATGTTCTTGTACGCTCCCCAAGCCGCTCGTTTCCTCCTGCTCAGCTCTGGAGAGCTAGATCGTTCATCATATTGATTTCCCGACCTAGGTACACGTAGCTGGAGCATTCGGTGATGTTCGTTCCGTTGAGCGTGAGTGCAGCATCAGGAACTAATCTTTTCTTTCTTTAGAACTAATCTTTAGAATTTCTCATAAACATGGTCTTTGTTAGGTTCAGCTGTAGACCGACCTTACCACAGGCGCAGTCGAAATCAGCCAGCATTCGCTCCGCTTGCTCGATGTTCGGCGTTATAAGAACGATGTCGTCAGCAAAACGAAGGTGGTGTAGTTGCCGGCCGTCGACCTTCACTCCCATGTCTTCCCATTCCAGTTGACGCATGACGTTCTCGAGAGCGGCGCTGAAGAGTTTGGGCGAGATGGTGTCGCCCTGTCGAACCCCTCTCTTGACGTCGATGATGACCTCCTTGTAGAATGGTGAAATCCTGGTTGTAAAGTTGCTGTAGAGCACACAAGGAATCCTTATGTACTGAGTAGGAACGCCCTGGTTGCCCAAGGCTCCGATGATCGCATCCGTTTCCACAGAGTCGAAGGTTATGCACGCATATCGCCCAATGAGAGAACTCGCTATGCTCAGTTTTACTAAAGCCTACGTTGCCGCGCGGTAGTGGTAACAGATTTGATGGGCACACTCCTAAAAACCCTACTCCAGGCGAAAGGGCTTTGTTGTATCCACACTTTCGATGTCAACATATCGAAATGGGCTGGTGATGCGTGACGCTGTCTAGTAAAGAATATTTTGGTCTATTGACGTAGTAGGGAATATTGGTGCCGAAACTGATTTTATCTTGATATTGGTACATGGGCTTAACGCGATAGCAACGGTACTGACTGGTGACCGTGGGCTGAGACACTAGAGGCGCAGGATATAACTCATACCTCCCCCTCTCCACTTGTTTAACGAGACGTCTCTTCAGGTTTCGCTTGTCAGACGTGGCGATGACCAGAAAACGGTTTTGTTCATTCTCGACGGTTCTATATCGGTTACCGCATCGGGATGGAGAAAGGTATCTATTATATTCGATGTCTTTCTGTTTTTCCAAGATTCCTATGCTAGCTCGACTATTGCGCCAATGGTCAGCATCGCCAAGCGCTAAACAAATTTGATCTATCAGGAGATCTACTTTTCCCCGATCGCTACGCATATTTCAAAGTCAAGGGAAGCTAAAGCGTTATTTCAAGAGTTCGAAGCAGTTATCTGACAACTGTATTGACTGACTAAAAGTCCGTCAAATCAGAGCGCTGTATGATGTCAGCACCTTAGCGATCTTTTCGGGTTGCTGCAGAGACCATATTTGTCTGAAACAATCTGCGATGCATTTTTTTTAAAAAATAAAAAAAAATTTTTTTTTTTTTTTTTTTTTTTTTTTTTTTTTTTTTTTTTTTTTTTTTTTTTTTTTTTTTTTTTTTTTTTTTTTTTTTTTTTTTTTTTTTTTTTTTTTTTTTTTTTTTCAATTTTTAACAATTCTTTGTAAGGGGCGCTACTCTCTCGATCATTCACCACCTTCATCCTTCATGAAAAGATTTGCTATCTGAATTCCTCAATAATTCTAATGACATTATAATCTGTTTTCTTCTAGTTTCGGAACACTTTTTTTTCAACGTGTGCCGTTCTGTTTAACCTACAGTGCTGCAAACTTTGACCTTTTCTTGAAATTTTGGTTTATTTTGGTGGATACCGACTCACGAGCAATTAATGGTCCTCTTCGTTAATTTCTTCTTGGACTTTCTGATTTTTCTTCGGACTTTTTTCCGGCTCTCCGCTATAAAGCTAAGGACTCATAGTAAAAACCGAGTAAAGAAGAACCCACCATGAATGAAGCTCTACTCATCTTGCTTGGCACAGCTCAAACTTTCTTCACCCTCATTTCATCCATTTTTTCACTTTTTTCTCATCTCCACGATCTCATAAAGCGATACCATGACACTGTACTAGTACGGAAAGACGCAAGGGTCGTACTGCCAATTGGAGAAGAGATGTGGGTCACCCAAAGCCTCTCTTGAAGGACGAATTCACGATTGCAATGGGAGTCGAAGAAGGAGTAACTCACCTAGTTGAGGGATCCGCGGACCTTCTGAGGGTGCGGACTGATGCGCAACTGGCACCGAAAGATTTGACCTCTTCGACCTACTGAGGCTCAATCTTGGCGCTGTTGGCCGGTGTACGCCCACCTATCATCTGGGCCGAAATAAAATGTGTATAGGAGAGGCGCAGGTGACGTCCGTTATGCGCAGCAAACAGTCCTTCGGAAGACTTTTTGGCCAACTTCAAACTGCCAGGTGCGTGGGTCAAAGCACGATGTTCGAAAGGAAAGGGAAGCACCTTGCATTGATTTGTCATTGGTGAAAGCGCCTGCAGTCCACGTTTGTGTTGGATCAGTCGCCGGAACAAAACTACGATAAGTGTGAAGGTTTGTTATTTTTGGCTATTTCCTTTTCTCTACAACCCCTTCACCGTTGAAAAAAAGGAAAAGGGCTCCTTAGTGCAGTGGTAACGATGCCGCTCATGGGACGGTGCACCGAAAGTTCGAACCCGTGTGTGACGCAAGGTTTGCAGGCAACGTGGGGCTCACCACTTCCACTATGGCAAACCGCCAATGGCTCAATAGGAACGTTCCACGCTGCCGCTGGCAAGGTTGCTGGATCTACACCGCTTGGAGTCTAAGATTTGCAAACAACATCCGTTGCTTACCTGTTCATCAAGACCTCTTCCATGCTGTGATCGAGTGATCCCTGGTGCACTGGCAAAAACCGGCTTGAGTCCTGTCATCCAGGGTTCAAGTCCGAGAGTGGCGCAAGTTTTGCAGATAGTGTGGCGAGGCTGGCGGTTTCAAGAGGATCAAGTCCATGTTTCCACGTTTCTTGTTCCTCCTCAATGGGTGAAAATCACCACATTAGCTAGTCTACGGCACTTTACTTATCAGATCACTCGCCACAGTTCTATACGTGGCGAGTGATTAGATAGCAGAGAGAGCGTAGTGTTGAAGAGGGCACAGCGATGAGAGTCGCATCAATGCTCAAATCAACGGGCAAGGAAGGGGTCCCATTTCTCGGGTTCTGGGCCGTTTCTCATGGTTTTTCCTTCTTTCGTGTACCACTCACCATCGCTAAGTTAATTTGAAATGGGTTGCTTTCCAGCGTGAATTCGTCCTTTGAAGTTGAGCTCGAATCTGTGCTCCAAATCTGCTCAGCAATTCTCTGAATAGAGCCACCGGGTGGGGGGGGGGATCCGATGTGACAGACTCCAGTTTAGCACGAATAGAATACGGCGCATGGATACAAAATAACCTATCGGCTACAGGCTGGGGATCAGACCTGTGAAGCCGAAACGTTGGATCTTCGATGGTCTAAGTTGTGCTGGCTTTCAATCCATAACGGACGGCGTGCGCCACCATATGACGCACGACTTTCATGATGAAATTTTTTCGATTTTTCGGCC